AAATCTCTGCTCAGATCCAACTGTGTATCCCAGACAGCAGCTCTGAACAGTAAGCAAATTCCCAAACCAGTACACACATACTTATGGAGTCAAAACGCTTTATTACAAATCAGGTACAGGAGCGCTGCTCCTAACGAGAAAACACTGTAACCATTTGTGGAAACAAAGAAAAAATATAAGCAGCTTGATAGAACTTGCATGTGTAAATGTCATGTAACTGATAAACCTAGTCATGTAACTGTTCACACCTACAGGAGCCAGTAAAGAAAATGCTTGTTGGTACTTTTTGTGCAAAGTGATTTTAAAGTAGACACAAACCGTGGAATTCATAGGTAAAATGATGCTGATCTACAGCTCACTCATTAATAAGAGCCAATTTAAGGTTATAAATTGACACTTTTAATGCTCGATTAAAGAGATTTGCTTGGATTTTAGCACAGGTTGTGGTATTTTATTCTTAAAATTCGGTCACAAAGAACCTTTTAATGGAATTTTGATCCACCTGTTAATTTATTCCTACTCAATATTGGCATTTCATGCTTTTGGCCCTCAACTATGTAAGAAGCCTCAATTGGTAGATTAACATTGCAAAAAGTAAATTATGCCTTAATCTCTACATTTGTTTTCCATCTCTCATATACACCATCCTTTTTTGTAAAACTGTAAAAATATATTTTTTTGTATGTATCAGTAGATACAGATATTCACTTCCTGGAAACTTTTGAGGGGAACCAACATATATATAAATTCGATTGGTTTGAATATTTAAGGTATCAGCCTCTTTCAGTTGGAGGCACTCTCATCTGTGAATCAGATTGTTGTGAGTTCAAGCCCACCGGTGGTATTTTGAACCCAATGCAGTGCAAAGGGAATGAGGAATTGTTGGAGGTGCAGTCCTTTGAAAAGAGAAAGAGTTTCTCCCAGTGCCCTGGCCAATAATCACCAAGATAAAAATTGTCTTTCACTTTATGGTTGTCTGTGGGACATTGCTGTGCATAAAATGACAGCTGCATTCGCCTTCAAAATACAATCACTACAATAACAACAACAACAACTTGTATAGCACCCTTCATGTCGGAAAGATATCTCAGGGCGCTGGACAATTAGGGGTTTTGGACCCGAGCTGGGAGTTGGGGTCAGACTTAGTGGAGGGCAGGGGCCGAGTGGGTGGGAGGGTGGCTCAAGGCAGAGTCGAAGAGGAAGGACTTCAGGTGGGACTTGAAGGAGGCAAAAGAGGGGGTGAGGCCGAGGGATTGCATGCTAGAGTTCCTGAGTGTAGAGCAGAGATGCTGAATGATGCCCGATCACCAATGGTGGGGTGGGAAGTGTAGGGGACCTGAAGCAGGCCAGTGTCCGCCAGGCAGAGGGAGCGGACAGGCTGATATGGGGTTAGGAGATCGGAGAAGTAGGGGGGAGCAAGACCGAGGAGGGTCTTGAAGGTAAGAACAAGGATTTTGTACTCGATTCTCTGAGGAATAGGGAGCCAGGCAAGAAAGCAGGCAATAAGTTCCCAGAGCCTGGTGCAGGAGAGGACACGAGCTGCAGCGTTCTAAATAATCTACAGCTTGTGTAGGGAAGAATTGGGAAGCCCAGTGAGCTGGCAGTTGGTGTAGTCAAGCTGGAACATAATGAAAGCATGGATCAGGGTCTCAGCGGCCTGCGGTGAGAGGCAGTGGTGGAGGCGGGCAATGTTGCAGAGGTAGGGAAAGGCAGAACTGGTCACAACACGAATGTAGGGTTTGAAGGGTAGCTGAGGGTCGAAAAGGACACCCAGGTTTCTTATTGACTCAGTGAGGTGAAGAGTGCAGCCATGGTGACAGTGTCAGCAGCTGAGGTGAGGAGGTGCTGCCGGGAGCCAAGCAGGAGAGCCTCTGTCTTGCCTGAGATGGAGAAAGTTGGCTCTCATCCAGACTTTGATGTCAGACAGACAATTAGCCAGGCCATCAACGGTCCTGGAGTCAAGGGTGGAAGCGGCGAGATAGAGTTGGATGTCATCCGCATACATGCGGAAATATACCCCATGACCGCAATGACATCGCCGAGTGGGAGCATGTATAGATTGAAGAAGAGGGGACCGAGAACAGAGCCCTGAGAGATGCCACATATGACAGTACGTGGGCTAGGGGAGAAGCCATTGGTGGCCACGAAGTGCAGACGGTGGGAAAGGTAGGATTGGAACTAGGCAAAAACAAAACCATTGAGGTGGCGGTGAGAGGAGAGGCAGTGGAGAAGAATCGAGTGGTCAACAGTGTTGAAAGCAGCTGAGAGGTCGAGAAGGACGAGGAGACAGAGAGAGCCCTGGACGCAGGTGGACAGAATGTCATTTGTCACTTTGTTCAGGACTGTCTCTGTGCTGTGAGCAGCACGTAACCCAGATTAGAAAGATTCATGGAGGGAATGATGGGAAAGGAATGAGCGAAGCTGGGAAGCAACAACTCGTTCCATGAACGTTGATAGAAACAGGTTTGGAAGGCAGAGATGGGTCAAAGGAAGGTTTTTTGAGGGTAGAAGTGATGACGGCTATCTTTAGGGGAATAGGTACCAGTGGACAGGGAGAGGGAGAGGTTAACGAGGTCTGTTAGTAGGGGAGGGCAAGGAGGTGGAGCTGGGAGGTGAGGAGAGGGGAAGGGATGGGGTCAAGGGAGCAGGTGGGAAATGATGGAGGTGAGTGAAGAGGGGGAGACAGGGTCAAAAGTGTGGAGGGTGGGATGGGGGGGGAAAGTGGCTGGAATGGGAGCAGGAGGTGGTGATGCGGTGACAGTAGAGGGGTTAGAGGCGGCAGAGCGAATCCCCTGAACTTTGGACTCAAGGAAATCCATCATGTGGAGTCCTGTAGCTCAGTGGTTAGAGCACTCGTTTTGCAAGCGAGACACCTGAATTCAATTCCAGGCAGAGGGCGAAACCTTGGGCAAGTTTCCTTACTCCACACAGAGCCTAATAATAATCCCTCCAAAACCAAAAGCAATAATAAATTGGTCATTTTCAATCTACGACTGTTTGTGGGACATTACTGTGCGCAATTGGCTGTCGCGTTCGCCCACAAATATACAGTCAATTCACTTTACAGTGTGTTCTGTGAAGCGCTTTGGGACGTCCTTCCGACGTGAAAAGCGCTATATCAATTGCAAGGATTATTATTAGTAGTATTATCATCTACTCGCATTTGGTGTTGGAGGAGAGGATGGCAGAGGCATGGGAGGGTGGACTGAGGAGTTGGTTTATGGTAGAAAAGAGGAGTTTGGGGTTGTCCTTAGCTTCCAAGATGATTTTGGAATAAAATCATTACATTTTACAGTAAATCCTGTGAAGTGCTTTGAGACATCCCCCCGACGTAAAAAGGATTAGTATTGCATTGTTGTTATATCAAACGCAAAGATTATGATTGTAACTGGAAATTTGTATCAGAAAACTATCTTAAATATAAGTGCAGCAAAATGACCGTTGACTGTTTATCTGGAAGTACAGTACATTTCATACTAAACCCCACCTAATTTCCGTACCCACACTGGTCCATCCTTGGCTCTACTGGCTCCCTATTGCCGAACAGATTGATTTCAAGATCCTCACACTTGTTTTCAAATCCCTACCTCTCCGACCTGTTTATTCCCCAACCCACTACCCACTGCTTCTGCTTGACTGGCTCCGCCCTCCTGCGTGTCTCTCGTGCCCTCCATTGCACCATCGGCGGCCGCACTTTCAGCCACTACGCCCCGACAATCTGGAACATTCTTCCTCTATCCCTCCGCCTCGCTCCTTCCTTCCCCAGCTTCAGATCGAGCCTGAAGACCTTCCTCTTCGATCGTGCCTGGAGGTCACCACCTCCTTCCAGCCCCGTGCTCCGCCACCGTCAAGCGCTCTCGGACGCTACCCCACATGAGGGGCGCTATATAAAGGCAAGTTGTTGTTGTTATTGTGCCTTGCTCTTGGCCATCTTTGCTGCGTCCTGCGCATGCACACCGTACACAGGAAGCCCTGTTGACACCATTTCCTATAGTCCGCCGATAGTCAGAAATACATGTTGACAACACTTCACAGAGCAATGTCAGAGGTGCTTCCAGGACGTAGCGCAGATGCTCAGTGACTGGCGGTCACCTTTGAACGCGAGGTTTGAACTGACGTACCCAAACCATTGCGGTACTATCAGCGTCGTCTTGCACGAAGAGACAGCCTTCTGCGAAAAGATAAGGACTATCTGACTATCGTGGGACGCGCAAATAATGATTTCGAATTGATAAGAGCCAATTTACCTTCGATTCACTCGTTTTATTAAAAAGGAGGAAAAGCCCCAAAACTAAAATACTCTGCGACCCCAACATGAGTAGCATTGCAGGGCTTCCCCCCCCCACCCCCCCCACACACACACACACACACACAAAAAGAAAGAAAAAAAAACCCACACAAAGGGGAAGACAAAAAAAAAACAACGTGGGTCATAAAGTTGGTATTGTTGCACATTCGCTTATCTGATCAAAAGAAGAACATGAGAGAGAGAAAGAGAGAGAGAGAGAGAGAGAGACCCACACACACGATGGAGAGCTGATCACTTATTCATCTCTCGGCCCCGCGCTCCTGACGTGCGGCTCGTGTCGGTGCCGCTGCGGTTTTGGAGGCGGATGTCGCCTTGAAGTCGGTTCTCCAGGACTGAGCTCCGACTACTGAGAGAGAGTGAGAGACTGAGAGAGAGAGTGAGAGACTGAGAGAGAGAGAGAGAGAGAGAGAGAGAGAGAGACTGAGTGAGACTGAGAGAGAGAGAGAGACTGAGTGAGAGACTGAGACTGAGAGAGAGTGAGAGAGAGAGAGCGCTGTGCGCTTCACCCGCACCTTCATCACAGCTCCTCGCGTGGAGAACCACAAACGGGGCGGGTACGGGGGGGGGGGAGGGGGGGGAGGGAGGGGGAGGGGTTCATATATATTTCTTTATATATATATAAAGAGAGAAAGACAACCACCAGACAGACAGACAGACAGACACAGACACACACACACCGCCTGATGGTGGTTTAAAGGTCCGGGCGGGCGGTGGCGGACCCCCTCCTCTCCTCTCCTCTCTGTGCTGCGCTGCGCTGTGGATGTCCTCCCGCGGTGGAAGCCGACGGAGCCCGTGAAGGCGACCCCCGGCGACGGATCATTCGCAGCGGCTGCGGGAGGGAGGCTCTGGTGGTGCTGTGTGTGTGGGTGTGTGTGTGGGGGTGTCACTGCACTGCTGCCGTCGGCGTCTGGCGGTGGTCGCTCTTCTGCGGGAGGCTGTGAATTACGGTGGGTGTCCAAATAAATATCTTCTCGTCCGTCCGCCCGTCCGTCCGTTTTCGCCCGCGGTCAGTCTTGACCGATAGATAACGAAGCAGAGCAGAGAGGGAGGGAGGGAGGGAGGGAGGGGGGGGGGACCCTCTGCAGGTCTCTGAGGGAGGGTCTCTGAGGGAGGGTCTCTGAGGGAGGTGTCTGAGGGAGGGTCTCTGAGGGAGGTGTCTGAGGGAGGGTCTCTGAGGGAGGGTCTCTGAGGGAGGTGTCTGAGGGAAGGTCTCCGAGGGAGGGTCTCTGAGGGAGGGTCTCCGAGGGAGGTCTCTGAGGGAGGGTCTCTGAGGGAGGTGTCTGAGGGAGGGTCTCTGAAGGAGGTTTCTGAGTGAGGGTCTCTGAGGGAGGGTCTCTGAGTAAGAGTGTCTCTGAGGGAGGTGTCTAAGGGAGGTGTCTGAGGGAGGTCTCTGAGGGAGGTGTCTGAGGGAGGGTCTCTGAAGGAGGTGTCTGAGGGAGGGTCTCTGAGGGAGGTGTCTGGGTGTCTGAGGGAGGTCTCTGAGGGAGGGTCTCTGAGGGAGGTGTCTGAAGGAGGTGTCTGAGGGAGGGTCTCTGAGGGAGGTGTCTGAGGGAGGGTGTCTGAGGGAGGCGTCTGAGGGAGGGTCTCTGAGGGAGAGTATCTCTGAGGGAGGGTCTCTGAGGGAGGTGTCTGAGTGAGGGTCTCTGAAGGAGGTGTCTGAGTGAGGGTCTCTGAGGGAGGTGTCTGCGGGAGGGTCTCTGAGGGAGGTGTCTGCGGGAGGGTCTCTGAGGAGGTGTCTGAGGGAGGGTCTCTGAGTGAGAGTGTCTCTGAGGGAGGTGTCTGAGGGAGGGTCTCTGAGGGAAGGTCTCTGAGGGAGGTGTCTGGGTGTCTGAGGGAGATCTCTGAGTGAGAGTGTCTCTGAGGGAGGTGTCTGAGGGAGGGTCTACGAGGGAGGTGTCTGAGGGAGGGTGTCTGAGGGAGGTCTCTGAGGGAGGTGTCTGAGGGAGGGTCTACGAGGGAGGTGTCTGAGGGAGGGTGTCTGAGGGAGGTCTCTGAGGGAGGGTCTCTGAGGGCAGGTGTAAGCCCCTCAGTGCGGACGGTGCACGGTTTGGAGGCTGAGTCAGGTGCAAACTTGTCTCTCTGACTCGCCTTTCCCCCCTTTTCCTTTTCCTTTTCCATGGACATTTCAAAGGGAATAAAATGGATTGTTTCTTTTTCAGGTTACCTGAGGGTTCCTGTTTTTTTGTGAGTTGAAAGTGTTAATTGTAAGCCCCACCCCCCCACCAAAAAAAACAACCACAAATAATTAATACTCATGGGATGCTTTCAAAAGCCAAATGTAATTTTTTTTCTGTCATTCACGTTGCGACCAATGACACCCAAATTATTTTTGATTTACATCCTCGGAATCTGAACGTGTGGTTGTATCGTTTGAGAAACAACTGTTGTTGCTTTTCAGTGCAATTGGGGGTGGGGTGGGTGGGTGGGTGGTGGGGGGCAATTGGGTGGCAATTGGGTGGCACAGCGGTTCGTTCACTCGGCACTTTCTCTAAGAATCTCGAGTTCAAATTCAATCCAGACTAAAGCGTTAAAAGGATCTCTCTCCCATCTCATTCTACAAGCTTTAAATGTTCCGCACAGAATTTGCTTGGACAGTTCTCCAACTGTCTCCCAGGGATTCTGCAGCCCATAATTTGCTCCATGTTCGCAGTTTCACTTTCGCAGATGATGTTACAGTGGTATAGTATATTCGGGGTTTAAGACTCAGTATTTTCAACATCTGACTTGTGCTGTACTTGCGCTTTAGCGGACAGCAGAATACAGTACAAAGTGCAAAATTACATATGTATATAGCACCATTCACTATATTGGGAGGACGTCCCAAGGCACTGGACAGTCAGGGATTTGGACCCGAGCGGCGGGGGAGGGAGGGGTTTGGGATCATGGAGGGTGGAGGGCAGGCAGATAGGTGTATGAGGATGACCGAAGGCACGGTCGAAGAGGAGGGTCTTGAGACGTGCCTTAACGGAGGCAAGGGAGGGAGCGAGGCGAAGGGAATGTGGGATGGAGTTCCAAATGGTGGGGACAGGAAAGCTAAAGGCCTGACCGCTGATGGTGGGGAGGGCTGGGCAGGGGCCGTGGAGCAAGCCGCAGCCTGCTGAGCGGGGGGAGCGGACAGGTTGATATGGGAGCGGATAGGTTGATATCAATCACCCTGAATCACAGTGAATAATCCCAAGAAGGGAAAATATTCCTTCTATTACTCACCTCTTGACATCCCTCACTTTGACAAGCAAAAAAGTGAACTTTAAGAACAGAATTTTTTTTACTTTCATTTGGCCAGGAGGCAAAGGTAGACATAGACTTAAGGTGGCTTATAGACAGTGTCCTTAACCAATATGTTATTTCAATAACTTCATTAATTAAATCCAATACTGGTGTTGATTTCACCCCTTGTCTGAAGGAACATTCATTGTGCTTTTAAATTTTGTTTCGGCATTACTGAGTAGGGAACCATTTTACCCGCAATGTTTGGGAATTTAAGTAGGGCAAACATTTTCAGCAGAACTTGAGCGCACTTAAACTTTGCAATATAGCAGCCTGTGTTTGAATTAGTAGTGGCAAAAATTCCTTTATTTCCATTGCCAAACCATTTGAACTTCCCTTCCAAATAGAAAGTCAGTATACATCAAATAGTTTGGATTGTGCTCTTCCATATCTGAATTCCAGTGAAACAGCTAACATTCTGACAATTCTTTGTTCCCTTTTATTAAAGTTGGGATGTCCTTTTATTTCAGTATGGCTTTAAATTTAGGAACTTGACCAAAGGTTATGATTATTTATGTTTTTTTCTAAAAAAAGTGAAGAACACTGAATACAAAAATGATTATCAGTTCCACACATTACCTATGTTAAATGGTATCTTACTTCACATATATGGATGCAATGTGCATCATATCAATATTCTTTTAAAAACAGCTGAAGACATTTGGGAGACGCTTTTTCCATGAAGCATTTAACATGCAGTTCAAAAGTTTATAATGGTTCAGAAACATTTTGTGGCGCAGTGCTTGAGAGCCATTGAGCACAGCGCCACGTACTGGTAGGATAATAATAAAAATAATCTTTGTATTTGATAGCCGGGCACAGTTGGTACCACTCTTCCTACTGGGTGAGAAGGTTAAAGCCCCACGTCGGTACTTAGACCTCAGTGTGAGATTCCAGTGCAGTGCTATTGTTGTGCTGAATTTTTGGAGGAGACATTAAACCAGTCCTGTGTTCCTGTTCAGATGGATGGTAAAGATCCTGATATCCTGGCAAGCAATCCACCAAATAAAAAATTGGATCATTAACTTCATGGCTGATGTGGGACATTGCTTTGCACATTATACATGCTATGTTCACTTAGAAAATACAGTCATTATGCGTTACACTATATCCCGTGAAACACATTGAGACATCCTCTCGACATGAAAGTTATATCAATTGTAATGATTATTATATTGTAATTATTATGCAGTATGTATAACATCTCAAAGCTCATCACAGAGTTTTCTACATAGTGACTTTATCTTTGCAACTGAACATAGCAGTAATTTGCACAAAGCAATGTCTCACAAATAGTCATGAAATGAATAACCATTTTTATCTGCAGGATTATTATCTGTCATCTGTCAGCCAAGACAGTGAAGTCCAATTCCTTATATGAGGCTTGAACAATGATAACAACTTACATTTTTATAGAGCACATCATATTTGGTAATGTTTCAGGGAGTTTGTGAACCCACAATCTCCTGAGCACAGGTTCTACCAATTGAAATAGGCTGACACCATTGCAGGTTTACACCCTAGATTATTTAATTTCCTTTCAACCCCTCTGTGAGTTCCTATTTGGGGCAAAGAGAATTTATATCTTTGCTGGGGTCAGCTATAGATCGAAGAGAGCTAGATCACAAGAACAGGTCTCCTGTTTATTCTGTCAGTCAGGGAAGATATGTAGTACCTGAAGATTAAAAAGAAAAAATAAATAATTCACAAATTAAGCTTCAAATCATAGAGCAAAGGAGCAAGCTCACTGAGAGTGGGGTGAATCCTCTATCTAGGATATGCTGACAAGGTATAAGGCTTCATAAATTGAAAAGATTATTGTGTGATCGCATGTGAACTGTCAGTGTAGGTGTTCACAAAAGCCATTGTTTAAAACATTTTAAAACATGGAATACTGAAAGCGACTTTCATTCTGATTGGTATATTTTCTCAATTTTCTCTCAACATCCTGTTTGGTTCATTGTTCAATGTGTACTTTCCTCAACAATTGTTTAAGTGTATGGTAGAGTGTTATATTTGGAGAACAGAAACAATATTATGTTTTTCTGTATTTTCAAAATTCGAAAACAAGGGGTCGTAACTTCAAAATAAGGACACAAAAAAGAATAGGATGTGCGAGAACATTTCCTTCAGTAAAAGAGTGATGTGCATGTGGGTGGAATAAACTGGCTGGACAGGGTGGCAAACAAAGAACTAATGAGAAGAAATACCACCTGGATCTGCATTTCAATCTATTTATTTACCATTCCAGCGTGTCTTGAATTTGGCAAATTCTTAAGTAGTTTTAATTTTGAACCTTTTTTTGTCAGTTCTTTTAAGAGCTATAGAAAACAGACTTCTAAAATAGGATTGAATTCAATAATATGCCAAAGATTGGATGTTAGTGAAGGGGTGTAATGAGATGCTATGTCAAATACAAGAATTTTTTAAAAAAAGTATATAAAAACAGCGCCTGCTTGTTTGCTGTGAATCATAAAGACCTGGACTGTCCACAAATACTGTATGTGTTTTAGTCAATATAAACAACAGCTTTCTACAATACTGACAGCTTTCATAAATTACTTAGACAGGGACTTAGACATGGTTAGCCTTCTCACATATTTAGGTTAAGATAGTCCGTTTTTCAGCTGGTAGTACCCATGCACTTTTATATGACAACTGATTAATCATTTAAGTATGG